GTTTCAAAAAGACCGAACACGGAATTAACTAGCAGCAATTAGTCTTGCAAAACTGCAGAAAAAACTGACCTTGTTGGCTCATTAGCAGGTTAACGTATTCAATGACGTCGAGAAACAGCTCATTTCGTCTGTATTTTATGCCTTCTCGTCTCCATCCTATTTGCCCAGTCACCTGCGAGGTTATCTGAGACTGCTCCTCTTTGGTCTGAAATTGTTATGGGTGAAGGCATAACTTGAATCTACGATTTCTGTATAAGATTTTCAGCGACGACGGGAGAGTGCACTGCTCGGGTAGGTTAAATCTTAGGCTGGTGCCAGAGTCCGAGATTCGTCGCGCGATTCGCGCGATTCGCGCGACGGAACACAGAAATCACAAGTGCTCAATACTGCAAGGTGCTCTCCAATCCCGCCGCCATTTCTGCTTGATGGTGATGGTTGAATGACGACTGTTCATGATTCTACTTGTTTCATATTCAGTGTTTCAAATGTTCAAATGGGGCACTTGCGTTTTTGCGATTCGCGCAAATCGCGCGACCATCGCGGACTATGAAATCAGCCTAATTGTTTCAGTACTGCCATGCGTCCCCCTTAAGGCCGATGTCAGACTTTGCGAATCGCGCGATTCGCTAGCGTCTGCGGTCGCGTCGCGGCCAGTGAATCACTCAATTGGCTGGTACCGCAACGCGACCGCGGACGCTAGCGAATCGCGCGATTCGCAAAGTCTGACATCGGCCTAATATCAGCATAGCAAATACTGTTCTCATCCATACAGAGCTCATTTCACTTCATATAAGCAATTCTGCACTTTTGTGCCTAAATCGTTGTAGTGAAATCATTCCGATGAGAAACTGCTCAGTTCTCAACCTTCATCCATATTTCGATTCCACCGACGGCTTCAGGCGATATATGAAACAAAACTCAACTGCAACAGATCGGACTCGCTGTCCTTTGTCTGCATTATAGGCCATATTTGTTGATCAAAATTAATAAAGAAGATGAGAGAAGGATATACGCTTTAATCACTATCAAAATCTTTAGAAAAGAAATATTTCACTGCCCTTCTGTTGCATTACAGAAGACAATCAACGTATTTTACACAGCATCGACACCCGAATGAAGCTTTGATTTTTTGGGCGACGACCCTTGGTGGTCTAGGTCAGATCATTCAATGTAAGGCCGATGTCATAGTTTGCGAATCGAGCGATTCGCTAGCGAATCGCTGGATCCGAGCGTTGCGCCAGCGAATCGAACGTTGCACCAGCGAATCGAACTTTGCACCAGCGAGTCGAACTATGTACCAGCGAGTCAAACTATGTACCAGCAAGTCCTTTCCAAGCCTTCCTTCAAACGTTGGGTCCCGCCACTTTCAAACAGTGTGAGTCGCTGGTACAGTTCGACTCGCTGGTGCATCTTTCGATTCGCTGGCGCAACGCTCGGATCCAGCGATTCGCTAGCGCCAAACAGTTTCATGTCAGACCGGGAGTGAAAAAGCCTTCGTAACATAAGAAGCTGCTCAAAAAGGTTCTTGTTAGGAGGACGAGATTTGACTTAACGAGCGCACAGGGAAATTGCTTTAGGTGTTGAAATGGCGCAGGAAGAGCCACATAAAAGAAAAATGAGATCGCTAGTTGTTCTTATCTCGATTGCGCTGTCCGAAAAGTATTAGTTGAGACTCTGTCTTCTAGTTTTAATCTTTGAACTGGCTGGCTCAAGAAGCTCAGTAATAGGATTCCACTGTGGTTTGGCACAATTTACCTGTGTGGCAAAGCCCCAAAATATGTTTCCAACGGCCCGGCTACCTTTTTTTCATATCACATCGAATCAAGTCAACCGTATCGTCTGTCTATCCGTATCTGTGTTTGCCTGTGAGGGTAAATAGGTCACCTGATCACGAAAGTGACATTCAGTTCCGACGCGGGGTCATCTTGTCACGATTATTTTATTGCTGGATTTCTTGCCAACGTTAACCACCCAGTACTTGCTCCGAAAGTTCATTCAGCAGTTTTAGTCTTCATAATTGTCGCTAGTATTGTTCATCCTTTCAAGTTACCTGAGCCTCCCTTCCAGAATTCCACAAAAAAACTGAAAGCAATTCCTGGTCACGGGTGATGATTCAAGCTGGCGGAGGTAGTGGAAAGACTCCACAAGCAGTAAAATATTTTCAGCACATCGGATAAAAGGAATTTCATCAGAGGGAGCTCCATCTAGGTTAGACTAGGGGCTGAAGAAAGAAAGAAGATAGGTTTTATGTCGGTCCAAAGAAGCGCATGAATTAAGTTCTTCTCGATACCACTGTAAGAAGAGGGGAGGACTTCAGGAAAGGAATGCTATAAAGTGACCAACACAAGGAAACCTGAAGCTAGTAAGCGGAACTAGCGAAAATCGTGGATCAGCTTGAATCCAATCCGGAATGGCAAGAATAATTTTCAATGAGATATCGGACGAACCTATGAATACAGCGTACGCCAAAAGCTGCAATAGGAAAACAAGGATCGCAGTATGATTTATACTGATAAATTGAGTGTTGCGGTCACGCCGCAAACCAAAATGCAACCACAACACCTGTGTATTGATGAGAGCACTTCATAGTGGACGCAGGGGGAGATACCGAG